TTGTGCGAATAGGCACGCTTTTATATATATACATATATACGTATATAAAGGCGCGATGGTTGCTCAGAGAGCTTTATATATTCCCATGTGGAATCGTGGATAAACGATCGACGCACAACATGTGAACTCAATGATATTTATACGCGAGCTCGTGTATTCCAAATTTCGTATTTCCATAAACCGATAAATTTATAAGAGTAGCTTTCTGCAGTAACCTTCGCGATAGCAAATGAGACTCACGATCAAAGGCATCAAGAAGATACTTGTATTAATTAATTGCAATCTCATAGAGTCTTTCAGTTTTTATTTAGCGCAATTTACAATACTGGTGTATATTCTTGATTATTATATATAGCGATTATTTTATTGAAAATCATACGTAAAAATATAACACAGTAAAAACAGCTGGAATATATCTGCATTTGCATTATGTAAATTAAAAAATAACATTATTCCATTTAAGAAAGAGAAACAAACTTAGTTAATAGCAAACATTTTTTTAAATAAATAACACCTTTTAATCTTTTATACACCAAAATTAAAACATATTTCTCATTAAATAGTTACAGTTGATTTTTTAATGGCTTATACATAACAAAAAGTAAACTGATTGTTTTGCGCATATAGTATTATTAGTAGCAATTATTATGGTAAATATGGCATTTAATGATTATATTTTAATGCAAAGTTGGCGCAGAAAATATTTATATATATTATCTATGTTTAAACAACTTGCTAGAGGAACGATGGTGAATTAATTTCGAACAGCCGCGCTTTCAATATCTGGCAAAGGACCATATGTTAACGCGAACACAACGCAAAAGACCATAATGTGCACACCACGAGCCAAAGGAAACATGGGTTGACCTTTATCCGCTTGGTTGAATCAGCATTGCGGTTTCAATATATAATAGTTATACGTAAAAAATTAGACATGATTTGAATTAAAAAAATAGTTAACAAATTGTGCACATTTATGTAATGAAAAAAACTGCAAAAGAATATAAAAGATATATTTGCCAAAGATGCTATTGTAAGATATAAAATCTTATAATACAACATCGTTAAATAGACGCTGCTGAATGTTTTAAAATGAATGCTATTGGACAAATTTTTGCAAGATGGTATATTTATAACGCACAAAATTTTAATGCATGAGTTAATTACTAGACAATTAACAGTACTTGTAAGTAATACGAAAAGTATTATAATTGATTTATAAAAGATAATTTATATAACACGGTTGTATAATAATTATATAACATGTAGTTTATATAATGTTGAACGTATTCTTTGTCATGTTACAGGTAAGTTGAAATAATATTCTTGCATTTTATATTTCATTTTCCTAGATTACAATTTTGCATAATTAAGTCACAACTGCCATAAACGAAATAAAATATGCATTTTATATATAATGCAAATGTTGCGCGTATATTCATACGTCGCATACATTTATAGTTAATAATTCGTTAATAAATTGTGCATAATTTACGTATAGTTCTATTTATCTAAACGAGTCTCTCCTCTAATTTGAGTGGAACATCGAATCGGAAATATTATAAAACGGCGTTTAGAGGTATATACCTTTTTCGTAAAAGCCTTTCATCGAACTGGAAACCGCGATGAAAGATGAAAGACACGAGACGAGGCAAAAGCTTGAAAGTCTCGTCGACAGCCGCTAATAACTGTAACGACCTCTGGGGCATAACGAAGTAGGTCTAAGAGCTAAGATGTTAGAGATTGGGGGAGACTGTTAGATGCCACCCCTGGACAGTGTGTTACCTTTGCACGTGTTTCCTCGAGCAAAGTTCTTCACGGGACATAACTCCTCCCCTGCATCTCATATTCGTTGAAATATATCCAAAATGTGTTGTCATAATTAATAAACAACTGATAAAATGATAGCTAGTTAGAAGTCTTATACGCATACACGAGAAAGAAAGTGTGTATTTATATCACCCTTTATTGCAACAATGTTAAGCAGGCGAAGTTAAAACTAAGCTAATTATCGCTTCGTTCGATAAGTTTTTATTCTTTGTTAAATAAATTATCGTTATCGACGTTTCCGCGCAGAATTTAAATTTGTATAATGTATTAAACTTTTATAAAATAATTATTCAATAATCTCAAAAACATTTTACGATTATAACGTTACCAAATAATAATGAATGATAATTGCAAATTAAACTTATGAGAATCTAAAAGATTACGTATTTATAAGTTTTTAGTCTTACAGCAATTAATAACGTTACGCAAAACTCGTGACAAAATTTTATTATGTATGCGAATATAAATAATATTTTATGCAAATATATATAAAAAGGTAAAACGTAAATATATTTTATGATAAATTTAACGATAACGAAATACTTATCACATGATACAACGTATTAATCCATTGAAACGGTTATTTTTATTTTTTTTTTTTTTTGCACACAATTTACAGACTGTGTTACATACTTTGTCGGTGTTATCGATTCTTCGGGCAATGCGAACAAAACGATAAAGGAATAATAGAGATTTATCCATCTTCAATATCCTCGACTTTCCATGATTGTATACAAGTGTTGTTGGAATTTATATCGCACAAGCAACAAGAGTTTATATACATATGATCTTCGTTTGTACGGTTTTAAAAAGCATAGCTGAATATTACGTACTCCTATACGTAAGAATATTTTCTAATTGTACATAAGTTAGAACCTCTGTATTATGTAAGCAAAATTGTACCTGCAACTACAAATTGATTGCGTAACGTGTAGTTTAAATTGGTTTATTGAATAATAGTAGGAGAAAATATAACATCGTTATACTTATTGTTAGATAAACGTGTCATATAACCGTTATAAGTTGCTTAACTCGCCATACTTATGTTTGTCAATATTATAACTAGAATTGCATGTGATTGTGGATCATGCTGGTCAGATATGATTAACTCAGCTTATACTATTTCTTGGTCACAGTTTTTAAAGAAATTTTAGGAGAGATAGGATGTATCTTTATAAAATTCCTCTCTTCCCTTTCTCTAAATAAAATGTATCTCTCTTTATTAGAACCATTAAATAAAATTAATTGGACTACAAATCAAAATTCTAAAATGACATATTGGAATCTGGCAATCAAATTGTTATTTACGCACTACATTTGTCAATATTTTATTGGCGAATCGCAATCCGCAATTATTCATGACAAATATCTAAATCGCACTTATCTACCTGGTTTGATTTTCAAGAGGCAAAGAGGATATTAAATAACGTCTTGGAAATTGCATTTTTAAAGTAATCATCGAGTGTATCCCAAGATAATATTTTTTCATTGTTAAGATAAAAGCGAAAAAAAAAAAAAAAATATCACTGACACGTATCAGATGTTATCATAATACTAAGGTAGAAAGAAGGGTAATTCCTTGATAGATTTTACTCCATCTCTCCCTTTGAGATACGCCGTAGCTTTGGAAATACATTTAATTCGCAATTGACAAACAACGGAGCAAAAGCTGCAGGGAAGACAAATCCGTGAGAGTAGAAACACGAAAGCGCTGATTATTTGGAGTAGTACCTTGAATGGGCGAACCTAGAGTCTGTCCCAGAGATATCTAAAGCACCCGATAGATATCCCCCGTATTTATCCCCAAAAAGGCTGAACTTAAACGTCAGAGGGAAAATAAGAAACATTATATGAGAAAAATCACGATACGAATTCGCGATCTTGGAATCCAACAATTGATCAATTTTACTTCGACTCGAGTATCACCTAATATCTCTCGACGAGATCAGAAGGCATGTCACCGGGAGGCTGAGCAGAGCACTCCGCGATGATCCTCGAGAAGGAGTAGTCGATGCCGGACTGGCGAAGTCAGGCGCGCGTAGACGTGCATCGCGACGGCTGTCCGGGTGACACCCGTTATACGTGCATTCGTAACGTGGAGTTGTAGAGTCGACTCTCCGATATCGAGCGGGAGAGGCCCGGCGAGGGGTGCTCACACGTGCGCAGGCTCCCACCTCCACGACCTACCACTTCCCTCACTTGGTACCAGCGAGGGAGGAAAGCGCGGGTGTCGCAGCGAGTGGAAGAGAGAAAGGATCCTGGAGCGAGATCGACGACGTTCGAAGGGGCGATTTCGGCGGGGTTGGAGCCGGGGTGGCCCACCACGGATGTTGGGTGGCGCAAAAGAGAGAAACGCGGCTAGCGCGGAAACTTTCCGTGCGCATAGAGAGAGAGAGGTAGTTGACGGAGGATCTACCTTTCGCAAAGAAAGATAAACAATGAGCGAGAAGAGGATAAGGTAAACGAGACGGGAGCATATAGGGTGGAGAACGTCGAATGGCGGATAAAGAAGAAAGATAACAGAGAAAGAGGAAGAGGTCTCTATGCTCGGTAGAAGTTAACTCGGTAGAAGAGAGAATGATGAAAAAAGAGAACGGATAACCGCGGACAATCGCTGGTACGACGAAGATAAACGTGAAACGCTATAAGACCGATGCTAAACGAAAGAGGGAGCGTATAAGGGAAAAAAGAGAGAGGGCGAGAAATTCCGCTAAGAGGGTCGAAAGAGGAGTCGGTGGCAAATGGGATGGAGAATGAAAGACGATCGAAAGTGGGAAAGAGAGGCGGACAGAGCGGCACAGACAGAGAAGATCGAAGGCACGGTGGGAGAAAGAGATAGATAGAAGGAGGGAGTCGCGGTGCGACGTCGGTTGCGAGGAGGTGGCGGAGGAGAGGGCGGGAGTAAAAGCGAGAGAGAGGAACGAAACGGAACAGGGTTGTTCCAGTGTGCAGCGGGCGGGCATCGCGGCGGGGGCGCCGTTCTGCTGCTCCTGTATATCCATCCAGGGTTATATGTACCATCCACCGCATCCTAGCGACCACGACGGCGACGACGAGGACGACGACGACGACGACGACGACGACGACGACGACGACGACGACGACGACGACAGCAACGGGAACAACGACAACGACCACGACGACGACGACGACGGCGACGACGACGACGACGACGGCGACGAAGACGAGGACGAGGACGAGAACGAGGACGAGAACGACGACGCCGCCGGGAAGCAAAAGGATATCGGTCACGTCGGATATCCAGCAAGCCTGTTCATAGTAGCGGCATACATTGGTTGTAGTAGTAGTAGTAGTAATAATCATAGTACTTGTCGCGAACTAATTCACTCGGTCCGCGTCGTGAGGGATTCAGTGAAAAAAAGGGAAAAACGCAGTGCGAAAGTAATATATCGCGCGGTCCCACGCAGATAGGTCCATCCAGAGGGAGACATCGGCAAGGAGCCGCTCCTCATCGTCGCTCCAGCATGACCCAGCCTTAGTACAGCTCTCCTGTCGTAACACCCTCCGCGGCGCGACACGATACGACACGTAGAAGAAGGCGGTGGAGGAGCCGGAGGTGGTGCTGGCGGCGGAGGAAGAAGAAGGGGCGGAGGGGGCCAGGGAGAGGGTGGAGGACGCCGTACAGGACGGAGAAGAAGAAGAAGAAGGTGGAGGAGGACGGAGGCCTCGCTAACGACGGCGAACGTCCTCGAGGGTGCGAACCATCAACAACAGCACCACCACCGACGACGACGATGATCGTGACGGGTGGCGATCGGCGGACGTGTTGGAGGCGGAGACGCCGATTGGTGCTGATGGCTCTCCTATCCGCGGTTTTGGCCCTCGTGATGGGCCCCTCGTCGTCCTCGGGCCACAGACCGGCACCGAATAACCCGAACACGCTTCACACCACCAGCACGAGTGTGCCGATGCGTTCGAGTAACGGTACCAGCGTGCAGATTTATGATAACCATAATAATAATAACGCCGTGAGTTTCGACGAGCTCAATAGGACTAATGATAACGAAACCGATATGAAGAGGCCGCTCTTCCCTGAAGATCTATTCACCACTGATCAGCGCCGCCGTGGCGCCGTGATACTTCATATACTTGGCGTGGTGTACATGTTCGTCGCGCTAGCGATCGTCTGCGACGAGTTCTTCGTACCGTCGCTGGATGTGATCATTGAGAAATTCGAGATCGCCGACGACGTGGCCGGTGCCACTTTCATGGCAGCCGGTGGATCGGCGCCCGAACTTTTCACATCGATCATAGGCGTCTTCGTGTCGTTCGACGACGTCGGGATCGGCACTATCGTCGGCTCCGCCGTCTTCAACATCCTCTTCGTCATCGGCATGTGCGCTATATTCTCGCGTACGGTACTGTCGCTCACATGGTGGCCTCTATTTCGCGACTGTACCTTCTACAGCGCTAGTCTGCTCACCCTGATCTACTTCTTCCGCGACAGTTATATTTACTGGTACGAAGCGCTCGTGCTCTTTGGATTCTACTTGGGATATGTGGGCTTCATGAAGTGGAACCAGCCGATGGAGAAACTCGTCAAAAGGGTACTTTACAGGAACAAGGTGACCCGGGTCAGGTCTACCGATCAGCTGATGCCCTCGGTATGTACGGAATGTATACGCGAGAGCCATACATACCTCGATCTAGGAAAATGTCTGACCCTGTCTCTGTCTACTTTTACACCGATCGATCAGTCTGTCTTGTTCTACGATTTCCCTCTCGCTCTGTTCCTACGTGTGTGTGTGTGTGTTTGTGTCGCGTCATCTCTTTCTAACCATCGCATTCTTTCATATAGATACGTGTCACCATCGCGTCTCTTTCCGTCCACACATGTTTTCCTCCTCCATCTGCCTATTCGGGTCTACCTCCTTCTCTTTCTCTCTACTTTTTCCCCGCGTTTTCTCTCTCTCTCTCTCTCTCTCCTTTCATCCCCTCAACCCTCCTTCGGTATACACATACTCGCACATCGTGCAAGCTCTCTCTTTCTACACTACTACTGTGACTTTATATTTCATGGAGGAGCACTGCGTCGCGTGACTTCACGTACTCGCACGACTGCTCGTAGACGATGTTTTGTCTCGTTGGATATTGTCACGTTTTTTTTTTTTTTTTTTTTACGATTATTCTTATTTTACATTTCGAAATAATTAATGAGACGAATCCTGCAGCACGGCGCGGTTAAAACGTGATCTTGGGCGATTCGCAGAATTTTATGATTACAAATGAATGACATTTGATAATAATTTAGTCTTTTTTTATTTCACACGCTCCATTTTGCAATTATTGAATACGTTGACAAATCGAATATTTTTGATTTGGCGAATTTATAAATAAATTTTAAATTACAAACCAGATTTTTGATAGTACTGTATGCGCAAGAATATATAACTACTAAACTCTACAAGCTTGTCTTTGCAAACCTGCAAATTCAATTTGTAGAAAGAAATTGTTAGTTGATTGAATAAAACTATTAGCTTGAAGTGTATTTTGAATAACGTTAGTCATAGTGCAGGACACATGAAGGATTGACCCGCTTACCTCTCGCATGTAGGCCAAGGGAGAGATATCGAGATATATCGATTGCTACACCGATGTACTCTCAAAGCATTTTCTTTTTCTTACATTACTCGTGGAATTTTATATATGATTACAGATACAGACTTTTCTTCATTTTACATATCCATAACAAAATGCCTACTATTTTTTACCTCTCTTTTTTTATATAAATTATATATAATGATATTTATAATGTAAATTACATATAATTATATATAATTTATCACATATATATTACATATATACCTATACAATAAATGTGGAGCATTAAAAATATTTGTCTCTCTCTACTCAAAATACAACTATTATATTATCAAAATATACATATGTGTGTTTTGAAAACAAGATTTATTCAAGACACTGATTTGCGTGACATTTTAATAACGATTGCAAATAATACCTATATCGAGTATTGCCATGAGCATGTGATATTTCAATGGAGAACATGTGATATTTCAATGATTGCAAGCTTTCAGCATGTTGGATTTTGGTCGTTTTTGCACATAAATCACCGACTAATGTTTATTTTATCTGATAATGCTGTCTCGACACAGAGAAACGCACGATTCATAAGTGAAGAAAGACTCGTGCTCAAGGTCGTCAGAGACGTCACAAGCACTGTGAGACTGTGAGCTTCTCTCCGCGTTGAAGTTTCTTTGACCTGTCGCAAAAGAGTGCCTTACCATGATGTACAAAGGCGAGACAATACGCGCCCCCGGACTTTATACAAATGTAGAAACTTTACATTATAGGAAGCTATGCTGTTGTGACAACATTCAGTACTAGTGTAATAACTCGGACGTCAACGCGTGACAGTAGTTTTGTTATATTTTCAGTCGCCGATAGTGTTATCAGTATTGAATAGCCGTTGTTTAATCTGGTAAGGTTATCAGTTAAAAGTGAGAGCATCAAAAGTCGCCAATAATCTCCAATTGGTGTCAAAGACGTGACTTTACATTAATCGAATATCTTCAAAGTTTCATTTTCTAATCCTACATTTTCGTAAAGACCCTCGGCGATCGATTCGCTCGCAAAACCAAATGATTGAGAACCTTTCAAGTGAACGCTTCGTGGATAGAGTGCGTTTTTACGGTAATCGATTTTAAATCTTGCACACGGTGGAATGCCGGAAGGAAAAACCGCTCGTGGAAAAGACACTTTTCGCTATAATCACGATTCTGGAACGACCATTTTTGTGGCGCAACACGTGAAAAAAAATGTATTTAGCCTTAGTAATGAAAGAAAAATTTTGCAACATTTTTTTCTGCATAATGATTTAAAGTAGTATGTCTTCTACAAAGTTTTTAAATTATAATTTTTATAAAGCGTTGAGGGGAAACTGAAAAAGTGTGTATATATCACCGTTCGGAAAAATTGTGTATTAGTTTGAAATAAATTTTGATAATTATATTGCAAAATATATATAAGAAGAGATGTCTTCAATACACATTTTATGATCAAACATTATAATATGGATTTCTTTCCTTACAGAATTATAGACACACAAAGATTCGAGAAAAAATATTTTTTAAAAATCTTTTACACGCATACACCACACTTTACACATATAGAATTAAAGTGCGCGGTGAAAAAAAATGCGATTGGATTGAAATCGATGACATCCAAGGTACTCGACCACGCGCTCGCGGTATCTTGCATATATCCATGCATATAATATATAAAAAAATGATGCCTTCAATTAGAGAATGAGAGTGAGGTCAATCAGGTAATATTTTATATTCTAAAGCTCAGTTCTTACGTTTCAATTATTAAAACATATATCGAATACATTTGATATATGCATAACTGTTATGGACATCAAAATTATTATTTTTTTAAATTTCTAACACATTGACAGATAATTAAGCAGTCTTGAGAAAGACAAATAATGAAATAGCTTTAAAATATCCGACACATGAATAATATTGAAAAGATACGTAACTCAGAAATACGTAATCCGGCTCTCTTTTCGAAGTTGAGACGCGGCATTCGTTTTGCCGTTATTCATTTCCCTCTGGTGTCGTTTACGCTGACACTCAGGAAGACTTAACTGAAATTTATCTTTTATTCTTACAAAGCGATGATCATTTGTCAATGAAAACCAAGAATTGAAAAGTTCGGTGAATGCGGTATTGACGCGATATCGATCGGTGGAATTGTTCAATACGCAGACTCGTATTACATACTTCCACTTCTACCGCTAATATTTCGAAGTGCGGAAATGCTTTCCTGTCAATCACGCGGAATGCCGAGAATGCGAGAAATATATTTCTCTTACTGATGCTGATTATTAGAAGGTGATTAATAGAAGGGAACAGTTCTGATACAACTGCATAATTGCAGTTCTGACTATAACGAATGATTGAACGCTTTCCGAAATTGCTTGCTTGATTAAATTCACTAAAGTGACGCGCCATTTATACATATAATTCTTGTAAACGATTACATACTTACGTAGAATGTTGCAAACTAATCTCAATAATATTAATAATTTTATTTTATAAAGCATATTGTACAAATTATCTTTAAATATGTCGTTATAATTAAATGACAGCATCATGACAGAATTACGTAATTAGTATTGCATTGTATGTATAGATGTTTATATATATATATGTGTGAATTTTGACATTCTATGACATTTAAAACGAACTGGAATGATTAAGATATTAATTATAATAGATATGATAACGTTACACACGCAGTTAATCACTGCCTCTCATTTTATACGCATATTACGGTTAATGTGGCGCTTAACACCTCGCGTGCAAAGTGTTACTATCAGTCGACGCGCTCAAAAGTTTTTTTTCTACCGCGCGTACGATGAACGTGCGTCCGAGATTATAATTAGACGTTGCTATCGTTGCGTCTATTAATATCAAGTGTATTCAACTAATTTCGCGTGTAATATCAGTATTGTGATAATTAAACCTTAGATCGTGCGCTAGAAATAATATCTACTACCGTTCACTCAACCATAAAAGATAAATAATAATTATATAAAGATAATATATATATAATAGTGAAGAAAAAAAGTAAATAAAAATATTTACGTAACGATGTAAATGATTTTAATGCTAATGAAGATATCTCAACTACCGTAATTTCTAGTCACTTGATATGACAATAACACAGACATAAATATAAGTTTGACTCATCTTATGACACGAAAGGAAAAAATCCAGTGGCGCGAGCGATCTCTCACACATTGCTTTGATTAAAATAGATATCATCCAGCCAGAGAGAGCGTGAACTTGTACACGCGCCATCGTACCAATTGAACTTTTAAACTGGTCGTTATTAGCCTTATTGTTCTTTCCGCAGAATAATGTCGCGTGCGAGCCTCGTGCGAAATATGCAAGAGACGGCGGTTGGCAATAGAATGATTAAAGGCTTAATTAATATGGTCGCCACGGGGCCGGTATATATACTCGGGAGAGGGTGGGGATATCGTATTTTAAATTCTACGCCGCCACGAAAGATTTATAGGAACACGAAGTCCAATAATTTTGCTGTGGAGAGGATGAACGTTTGTCGCGACGACGGTTCTCATTACCGGCCGATTTTCTCACGCCCTCGCTCTTTCATCGCTCCTTCGAAGCCACCCACTCGTTCCCTCGCAATTTTTGACTTTTCGAATCATCTCACCCCCGAGGAGCTACGGCATTGCAGTGTGCGCCGTGCTGTGCCGTGGCCCTCTCCACCCATCGTCGAATCGATTCGACAGAGGCTCTTCCACAACACGCTTCTAGTCTCGGCGAACGCCCGACCGCGTGCAACCCGTCCGCTTCGCTCGTTCCTCTCTCGCCGAGTTATAAAGACCGATATACATATATATATATATATACATGGGGGAGCGTTACATAATGAGCCGATGTATATGGGACGGGAAAAAAAAATTTACAGGCGAGATGGCACGAATTCAGTCGTCAACTCGAACGAAAAACTCTCAGATATATTCTACGGTTCATGGTTGAAACGCGAGCTTCTAGCTGGTTAATAGATATTAAACTTCGGCCTAGACGTAAGCTAGACGTCGTAAACA